CCACACCTCATTGTCCCGCCCACCACACCTCATTGTTCCGCCCACCACACCTCATTGTCCTGCCCACCACACTTCATTATGTACATATTGTCAATAAACGTGAATTCTAAGAGTGTTTTGTGTACTAAATTCGTATGAAACAGAGGCTATAAGGACAAACCCAACATTCAGAAGGCACCTCGTAAGACTATATATTATATTTAATTTCCTAAATGATAAGTGGGTGCCCACTTCCACACCTTCCTTACTTCCACTTTGGTCAATCTGACTATACGTCTTTGATGTTTATGAATGTTTGTGATAGTATGTGTACGTCCGTACGTGCGTAAGTGTGTATGTGTGTATTTGTATATGCGTAAGTGTATGTGTATGTTAGTATAATTATGTGTGTACGTATACCCAATTACTGTACCTCTGAAATGCATAAAGGCGACATAACCAAGGTGAAGGCCGATACTGCCGAGAGAGAGAGTAGGAGCAGTGTGCGTATGTACATGTCTGTATATGACCCACTCTACATCCCACCGTGTCATTAAAACCACTCCAGCTATCCCTCACTCAACGCTTTGTACCGTAACTAAGATCCTTCAACACCATCTCAGGAAAAAACAAAAATCTTTGTTTATTACTGACACGACACCCACGCCAAGCACTAACCTAACCTACTCTGTCAGGAGGCGAGGTTACTTGCGGTCGTCTGTTTCGTACCGAAGCAGGCGTGGTGTTGGGCTGGGCAACTTTAACAGGTGGCCGCAGGTGCTGCTCTTCATCAGCACTTTGTAGCGGCGAAAACTTCCACATAATCCCTGACGCAGTAATTGTTGATATATGTGCATTAACAGGCCACTCCCCTAGGCTACCCCAACAGCTCTCTGGTAAAGGTCAGACAGTCGCGGGGGTAAGTGGGTGAGAGAGGAGAGAGAGACAGAGAAAAGAGAGGGAGAAAATAAAGAAAAAGTAAGAGAGGAATGGTGACAGAGTGTTTGGTAGACTAATTCAGGCAGAAGCTTACATATCTTAAACCCACATCTTCCCCTCCAGCTGGGACTCACCGGGAGGCACACACCCACACTTGCCTCTAAACACAAGGGGCCGAGACCAGCTGTACCCGTACTGTGATGTGGCCCTTTCACTTAAGATCATACGAGACACGTACCCGGTGACCGCTTAAACTGCTCTCTCTCTTCTCTCCTCCTCCATTCGTTTACCTTCATTTCTCTATTTGTCTTTCTCTTTTTCCCGCTTCGCTCCCCGTTCGTTTATCGTTCTCCTTTTCCCCTTCTTGTTCGTCCCTCTCTCACTCTCAAGTCTCTTACCTCCCTGCTTGTCTAAATTTCTCTTCCCTCCCTTTTTATTCATCACTATCTTTACCACACTTTATTCGCGTAACGCTGTTTCTCTCTCTCTTCTCCCCCTTTTATCAGTGTCTCTCTTGCTCTTACCTCCCGGTTCGCCTAGTTCTCCTTCTCCTCGTTCCTAATTAATGATTAAATCAACAGCTCCCAATTACTCTCCCCGCGACACCGCGAGAACATCGTCGCATTACCCAAGAACACACACACACACACATACACAGAAAAGAAATACTGTATTAAATGGAGAATATTTTAGCGTCGTACCCCCATAAATACTGCATCTAGAGTGAGTTACAGCAGGAAGATGAAAAAAGTTCTCTGAGTCAGTAGTCAGCCAGTCATGGTAGGTGTTCGAACTGATGGTTGAGGCAGATAAAATGACACAAACGGACTTGAACACGTGCCATCATGTGCGTGTGTGTCACGGGACCTCTTGTTTCACCCAACACTGTGTTATATTGGTTACAGTTATTTTACTTCAGTCATGTTTGATTCAGTTTCTGATGAATGTTAGACAGTACGAGTTATTTATGAATTCTAATTATTTTCACAGCATAACAACACGTGAGTTCCAGTTAATGAAAACTAACCATTACTGAACTCTGTTTGATTTTAAGCTGGGACGAACCGCTGAGCACTGATAATCGCTGTTTTATTTTCGTGGTGGTATGTCTTCAATCACCAGAACTTAGTCAACGCAGGTAGTTGCCCCCATGGCAGACATGTTAACTAATTTTCAGTGAAATAAAAGATATTTGTCAGTCTAGTAATAAGATGGAAGAACGCGTAATTTCACCCTCCTCACCCACACTGTATACCTATATAGAGTACATACTGTACTGTACAGCTGCTAAAAAAAGTATTTGATTTTTTTTGCGAGACAATATGACAACAGACGAAGGACTTTGACAACCTTATCGAAACAACAGGAGTCGTAGTGTTCATTTTGACATCCATCGGACCCCACCTTGCAGATACTTTCTGTACCGTGTACATATATATACATTCTATTTATGATATAGGTTTACAATAAATAAGTATTGCTTACCAAGCCAGAAGAGGGCCAGTAGGCGAGTTGCCCAGTACCAGGCAGGGGTGGAAGATGAGGACAGACAGACGCATCTCCCAAGGTTACTGCCACACATTCTACCAATATAACAGAGCAAAACTATCAGAGGCACTACTCTACCATATTTAAAACAAAACATTTTAAACCACCATCTAACTTACTAACTTGTACTTATATAAATATAACAGTTATTGTACTACATATACGTTACTGTATATTACAGTTCGCCAAATCAAGTTGAGCATCTCTTAATATATTCAGCTGACACATTAGTGTGTCTAATATGAGCAATGCCAAGATGAGGGGAGTGACTCAGTGACGTCATCAGCCTGCGCAGGTGTTACGCGGTGTGGTCCGACTGTGGCGTATAAAGTAGCCAGTTCAACCAGCTGTTGGAGCCAGGATATTTATAGCTAGTTTATGACCACTCTATCACCGCTCTGCGTCGTATCACATCGTACCTACTGACAACGTTTTGTTCGTTTACTTATGAAAGTAACAAATTAGCACAATCTCAAGAATACATAAATACATATTACTGTACTTCTATTAACCATTAAAACACTCAAGAATACACACCTCGATAAAAGCCAACATTTTCTTTGATGAGAGCACATAAGACACCTAGTGCCCAAGCAACACACCAGGTCCGGCTATAGCTTCTAAAGGGCCCTATACAAAATAATGGTAAGAGCCCCCATTCCTTAGACAACCCTCCCATCGTGCCCAGATTCCCCACCCACATATATTCCTGATTTCCTAAGAAACCATCATCTTGATAAAAGCGTGCACCACATTATATATATATATATATATATATATATATATATATATATATATATATATATATATATATATATATATATATATATATATATATATATATATATATATATATATATATATATATATATATATATATATCCACAATGGAAATGTGGAGAAGATAAATCTTGATAAAACCACTCAAGCAAGGGAAAACAAGGAGCACCTTAGCTTTCGTCTTTATTCAAGACAACTTCAGAAGGAACTGAATTTACAGGGACTGAGGGAAGCTTATGTACAATGGGTAACCTTACATAACATCACTTCAGGTCAATAACGTGAGACCCACTAACCCACACATCACCTCCACCGCAAATGGAAGAAGAGCTTATAAAATGGCGTGACATATAACAAAGGCAGCCACCTTATTCTACTGATTACCTTACTCCAGCAACCACCTGACCCTAGCAGCCAGTTCACTCCAGCAACTACCCTTTGTTACTGACCACCTTACTCCAGCAAACCAACATGCTATTGATCACCTTACTCTAGCAAACCAACATATATCAGTGACCACCTTACTCCAGTGACTACACCTTACTGACTCCGAAGAAAGACCATCAAACTCCTACAATGACTATACGATTGTGACCACCTTACCCTTGTCAGTGACCAATTTCTTCCAGTAACTTCTTTAGTTCAGTGACAACAATATTCTAGTACCAATTAAAATTTATCCAAGCCTTACTCATTGATTGGTGTTTCATGTTACTTGTTTCACTTTCATTTAGACTGATTTTACTTCTCACTCCAGACCCAAATATAAATTATTCTCTTTTTATTGAATGAACTCTTTGACCATCTAATACCCTGTACAGTATTATACACCCAATTTCATTTTCACACATTGGAAGTGATTGAACTGCTTCAACAGACAATTTAAATTCTAAGCTCACAGTCTTGACTCTCACTGCTCTCTTTTCAACACCTGCCATCATTCAGAACTCTCTCCTCTTTAAGAATACTCTCCTGATACTTTAACACTGGACTTGATTCGATTTCAAATTCTTGTGTGAGTCCATCCTATCTAACAGTTGGACAGAAGAAGAACCATCCCAGATATAAAAGCAGTATTCCACGTTACGACAAATGAATCCTTTGTAAACCTGAAGCAACTGCTCAGGGTTAAAGTGGCTATGGCGTCTGTACAGCATACCCAGTGTGAGTGTGAAGTTATGGGTTTTAGTATGCAGTGCAAATGTATAGCCCAGTGGTTCTCAACCTTGTTTGCCCCATGCACCCCTTTCACCATATGTCAGAATGTCATTCCCCCCTCCTTTCCAAGATTGTCTGCCTCAAAAAGTGCATTCCAAATAATATGCATATAATACTGAAAATCCTTTATTTTTTTCATATTAGTATCAGTTTCCACTCCCCCTGAAAACCTGAGGGGGGAAATTCCCCACTGGTTAAGAACCCCTGGTATAGCCAATCTTTCAGTACTACAGTACAGTAGTACCCTAACAAATATTTTTACATACACTAAACCCTCTCAATGCCAGACTAATTCATGCAAGCTCTGTCCCTTCTTGGGAGGATTCCCTAAATGGGAAGGTTTCCCTTTCCTCTTGTGGATGCATAAAACAATTCAGTACAATAATTTAAAAATTTCACACCATTCCAGACCACCAAAATGCACCCCTAGATACGTTAATGAATAATGGACTGGGCGTGTATAAAAATTCAACTTACCATAACTGTACAGCTGTAGATGTTATAAAATGTGAGGAAATCATTAGAAAAAGACCTTCAACAGTAAAAAAAGTTTATTTCAAAACTAATGCACCTGTTCTTCAATCCTCTCTCATGTTAAGCAAGATCATTCCATTCCAGTAGCACCAAACATCTGAAAAGTTCTTCTGTGAAAATCTAGCTCTCATAATATGACCTGAGAGGAGCATTGTCTTGTTATGTATGCAGTACTAGTACTGCAGTCTTCCAGTTGCTTAAATTCATCTTATCCATTCCAGTATTTTCTTTCCTCATCACTATGGTTGCACAACCACACACAGCCGTGCCCAATGGTATTGAAGACTGGATGGATTCCTCACTAACACAGAATATATCCACTTGCTTTCTCTTCTGTCTTCAACATGTTCATGTGATTCACTCTTACTTTCAACTGTTTTTTCACTAACATCTTTGTATAAATGAAGAAGATGAAGAAGAGGCTTTAAAGCAACCCAACCAATACCTGCTCCCCTGCCCAAAGTTTGGCAAAAATTACCACTAATTACGTAGCCCATTATTTTGCGAGAACAGCATTGCAAAGGCCCATCTGTTTTCATAAGCCACGCATCTTCCATCTCTTCTTTAAATGAAGAAAATTTGGCAAGGATCACCTGTAAAAATGAACATGCTTTAGTTTCCCATTCCCTTAATCAAAATATTCTGGCAAGCAAAATCCACACTTTAATAACCCAAATGAAGAACTTGAAGCCCTAAGATATTCTGAAATATCTAGAAGATGAGAAAATGCTGAGAACGATAATTTAGATAAACTAGCAAAAAAATTTGGACGATGTTCAGATATGATGGTAACTGCAAAATAAAGTGATGCCTGCACATTAAAATTATACAGCAAAAATTCACTTTAAAACTAAAAGACTCAATTTTCCTTTAAAAAATGAGTCTTCTCATTTACATCAGAGCTTAAGTAGAAGATGGGTATTCTCTCCCATCACAGGGTCCCAGGGCAGAAGGGACTGAAATGTTGTGATTATTCTTGCAACACAAACCCCAATTACTGTTCAGTCGCCCAAATGAATGTAGTCATGATATCCAGAAACTTTCAATCAGAAAGTGGTATCTGACAACTACTATCACTTTATTTTCACTTTTATTTTTTTGAGGTGCACACAATTTTGTCAAATAGTCAAAAAAATTAATTAATAAATGTTAAAGCAGTTTTTCGTAAGAATGATGTAAGAAAAAATCATGTACAGTAATCCCTACAAATTTTAGGGATTTAAAGTAATTCTTGGGGGTCACAAAAATTACAGTACAGTACATGAAATCCCTCAACTATACCACTACAGTAGTACCATCAAACACACCAACAGACCACAAGTTTGACGATTTTAAGGGTTTCAAACATAGGGGCAAGCGTCTTGTATATATTAAGTCCAGGTCATTTCTGCCAAAGAACTCAAAAGTCAGAATTCTAGCTTCTAAAACTAGGGCCACCTTATTCTCTATCTTGGAAGTGTGGTTAGATGACAATCACAAATAAGGAAATAAAAATAGAGGGATACAATGTGCAATGCCTCGACAGAAACAGATATGGGGTGGTGTCTGTGCTTGTATAAGAAATTATTAGCCTACATCTTTAAATCTGACTTATATGATGACCATCTGGAGGGCCTATGGCTGTAAATACTGTTATCCAAATCTAAACCTATCCTCGTAGGCACTCTCCAAGTCACACTCAGCGATAGTCAATTTGTGGACCATTTTGCCAATAAGAAATATAAGAAAATCTTAGGTGTATCTCCCTTTAAACAACTAATCAATTCATCAAACCATATAACAAAGTTCTCAGCTACCATGCTTGAATTGAATTGAAACAGTTTATTTAGCCAGAAAAACACAGATACAGAGTGGATAATAATAACAATATTACCATGGCTGAGCCAGTTGAGAATCTGAGCTCTCTTTTAGATCATATATTGTGAAATAGCCAAGACAAAATCAGTTGGGTAGGGGATATTCCTGTAGACATGCTATAACTGATTAGAGACCAAGCAAAGGACCCTTCTAGAAATAAGCACCTGACAGCTTTGTCAGCTATTCTTGGTCAAGTTCCTTAACTGTTTACCACTTTTGTTTACCTGCACTGTCTTGGCACTCAGAAAACTATATAATTATCCCCCTATTTACAGTAGGGTTACTTTCTTGAAAACCCATCGCAGGTCAAAATATCGTAAATTGGAATCGTTATAACATGGAGTTCAGTGCGATACGTTCCCAGCCAGTCCAACACCCACATGTATCACTGAAAATAAAATTCCTACACTAATACTCTACCAACAACACAATTAAACAGACACTCACCACATCATTAACAACAAGCCTGGTTCGTCATCACATACACGGTATCCCCTTCGAGGCTAAGAGGACTCTTGAAGGTGGAGTGGAGACGTCACTCTAAATCCCACACAGCTTCACAATGTCAAGATTCACTTCCAGAGACATAGTTTTCTCGGGTCCCTTGGTCTTCCCGGACATTTTCATAGTTACACTGCTCACTTCAGTCACAAAGACAGAGTACAATGTGAACGTTACAGATAAATAACAATACTGATACTGACCAATACTCGTAGAACTACATGATCACGGCCATGTGCGATTACCATGGAAAAAATCTTGGGATTGTAGTGCACCGGGTGGCCGTGTGTGGGTTAACCGCAGCTGACACATGCACCGAGAGATGTATTCCATATTCCACATTCGCCAGATGATAACCAATGTTCAAGCGAAATATCGTAAATAGGGGGATACCTGTACTGTACTCTCACGGTCTACATACACAGTGTCCCTATGGTGTCTACAATCATGCTGAACTGTATAACTGCAAGTTTCTAAACATGCTTATCCAATTGTAAACCTACATGAAAATCTTACTGAATAACACATGTGTTTTGTACTGTGCAGTGTGAGTATTGTACATAATGAAATAACATTCCACAATGTTTTTAAAGTACAAATCTTCAAATCCTGCCAGGGGCTCAGATAATAATAATATACTGTACTGGGGGCCAGTGGTAGAAGCGGTATTGCTCTTGCCTCGCAAGCAAGATGTCACGGGTTCGATTCCTGGGCCGGTGGAAGTTGTTTGGACACACTTCCTAGCCCCCATTAGTCCCTGTTCACCTAGCAGTAAAGTAGGTACCTGTTGTAAATCGAAAGTTGCGAATTCGTATTCAGGGAGTTGTTGGAGCTTCCAATAACTTGATGACATAAACCATTGACTCTTCAGGCTTCTACGCCCTTGACTCTTCAGGCTTCTACGCCCTTAACTCATGAGACATAAAGGCAAGCATGAACTTAGCATGCTTCCCTGTTGGGCGCTGTAAACGCTTCTGCACTTCACCTTACACAAGGATGTACCAAAAAATAAAAAAAATAAAATACTGTACTACTACTACTAATAATAATAAAAATAATACAGGTACCAAAAATATTCTCATAATAAAAACAAAACAAAAAACAATACAGTTGAACCTCGATTTACACAGTTCTCGTTTACGCGGTACCTTGCCAGAACTGGGATGCCCGATTTACACGGTGAATTTACTCATTTACACGGGAAGCAGCGAGGGCAGGGTGCGCACAAGGTCGCCCAGTCATCAAAACATAACCGAGTTCCTCACCCGCCACCCACCACAGCCGGCCCAAGTCAGTGATAGAGAGGATATGGACTTATATGGACTTTGAGGGGTTTGACAAAGAGGCCCTGTAAGCCTGTGGTGGATAGTGATACAATTGATACAAGTGATACAGGTGAGGGACAATAATCTGCCCTCTGCCTTGGAACCAACCCCCCATCCTCGTGTGCCCAGCCATCTTTTCTACTAATGTAAGTGTTAAAAAACCTAATATTATTGATATTTCTCTTAATTATTAATTGTGTGAGCATACCATCATAAAATTAAGATGTTATTTTTACTACAACGTAGGTATTGTGTCTGAGAAAGTGGAGTTTGGGAGTCGGCCCAGTCTCTATTTAAATTAATCCCATATGTTCTGTTAATCTATTTACGCGTTTCTCGTTTTACGCGTTACTCCGCGGGTTCAATTGACTGCGTAAATCGGGGGACCACTGTATTACAAAACAAATTGTCTTCAATGAACCCCCAGCCCACACTTTCTTTGCTAACCAATGGCTTCTCTCCCAACCACCACAACAGCCATCACTCAACTACAGTACATCATATCAACAACACCAACTCCTCCCTACACATATTTTACAGCACAGTACCTTCTTCACTCTTGATGGTAAGTACATATTCTAACACCATACTTGTACAATATTTTGTACATACTACATTCATATCATAAAATGATGGTCTGAGGGGGGGTGTGCTTTAAATTTATCCAAGTCTTAATCTGTGGGGTATGTACAGTACTCAGTGTCTAACCTGTATTTTAATAGTAATCACAGTTGCTTAAGCCTGGACACTTTACATAACTAGGTACAGTATTTCATACACCAACAGGGTCTATACAGGATGTGCATTAGAAAAGTTTTACTGCACTGTAGACTTGGCCTCTTCTCTGTCTTCACCTTCCACCCTTACTTTACTTAAATTTGGGTATTGTGTGGTCAGTATTAATTTTCATCTTACATGACATTTCTCCAGTTATAATATCTTTTCTTCACAAAGCTTTTATTAACATACCAAATGAAAATATTTTTTTGTTAGCTTTAACCACTTGTATATGACGGAATCGCTTTGTACTGAATAAAATCATCTGGTGCCAGCGAAATAAAATATTCAGTGACATCCCATAGCCAGGAGGTTAAGGAAATATTTGGATCAAATTTGGGATCCTGAAGCTTAACCCCGTTGATGTAGGATGGTATCTCATGCTAAAATAAGACATGCCTAAACCACGCTTAAATTTATGAAAGTTGGTAAAAAAAAAACCTTGGCTATAATTAAGACATCTTCCTTAATATATTTTGTTAACTGTATAAATTATAATTAAGTTCTTTCATGCTTAAAACAAAAATTTTAAAGAATAAGTATAATTGAAAATAAACACTAACCTTATTTTCTTCATTTACTTTCTCAACGGCATCAGTAATTGCTTTCTTCAAGGTTTGTTCACTTTGTGCAGCTGAAACAATGTCTTTCTCCCTTGCCACATTCAACCTGGCCTTACGTCTTACACGCCGGATTCTCCCCTGAAACAAATACAGCCTTTCCTTTAGGTTGTAGTGACAATGAAAATAAATTTGCTAACAATGATGTAACATAAATTGAATATTATTTAATGTGAAGGAGGACAAATGTTTTCTATTTGCTTATTGGGATGAAGAAGCAATGTCAGCCTTACCGGTGAAATCCTGTACTGTATGGGTTTTCATCCATAATAAATCATGTAAATAAATTGGATTTACTCATACACACACAAAGGTTTTTGCCTTGTTTGTTTGTTTATCTATAATGCTTGTGGGAGAAAAGCAATCCTAACCTTCCCCAGTCAGATACAAACAGCTTTAAAAAGGAATATTTAAGGGAAAACCTTTAACAGTTTATAATTTCACAAATATACCTAAAGAGAACAAAACAGTTTCCATTTTTTTTAATAAATTTCAATTCAACTGTGCATTACTATTACCTTAATCTTGGCATGTTCCTCTTTCAGTTTTACTCTTTTGTCAAATTGTGTGTCCTTATGAGGGGGTTCCAAGATGCCTTCCTTTTTGTCAGTGGGTTTCATTATCTTCTGTCTAGCTTCTATGTCTTCCTCTTGTGGTAGACAGATCATGGCACCTGATTCCAGAGTTCCTTTGAATTGTAATATTAGCTGCACCATTACCAAACAACCATGATTCAGTGTTTGTAATTCTTCTTCAACACTGCTGCTCTTGAAGACCAACTGATGTTGTTGAGGACTCTCAATAAGGGTCTCCATTAATGGATTGTCTTCAATACTCACTTTTTTATATGCTTCATCTTTTTCGGAGTAACTGTTAGAATCTTGGGTATTTTCTTCTGATATAATTATCTTCAATCTCTTAGAAGGAGTATCTTCTGAGACAACACTGGCTTTCCGTCTTTGAGCAACTCTTCTAACTGTTTTTGAATTATTTCCAATCAGCTGAGCCAAGCCACTTACAAGCCTGGAGTCCCTGAGAACAAAAATATCTTGGGTCCCTGGCTCCCAATCCTGTAAAAGCTTCCTCCATGGTGAGTGGAATGGATACTGAACACCAAGCTTTATAAAATTAAGTCTATTAGCAGGTGGCCTTTTAAAAAACTGGGTACATCTCTCCTTTGCCAGCCAAGTTGTATAATAATCTCCAGCTGGAGTGTCTGGCAAAAGATAAGGAGGTAATGGAGTAAGTATCTCCATATGCAAGTTTTCTGCCTCCTGTTGGCCCCCTGCAACACCACCACAGAAGATTAAGGACATCCAGACACTCATGCCCCAACCTGCAGCCATTATAACATCCCATCCGCTACCTGGTGAAAATCATATAACAATCTGTAAGTTTAAAGTTCTAAGTTAATTTCCATGATAACAAATTCGAAAATAAAAAATGGCAATATTTTTTTATCAGTGAAACATAAATACTGCATCAAAAGAAAGCATACAAGATGCAATGGAATGTTGAAAGGTCCACAATATATATGGCAGGGAAACTGGAATTACCATCTCTCTAACTCTGATCACTACACTTTAACCTTAAAATATATCACTACACCATGAGTCCTATGCATTTCTGAACATTCTTTTATAATCCCAACTCTCATAGTTTACATGTATTTTTTCCACTGTCTTTTTCTCATGAAGCAATTTCTATTTATCTCACTTTAACAGCAAGCTCATTTGTCTTACTAGTCAAAAGTACATTAAAATAAAATTTTTTTTTCACTGATTGGTTTTCTTATGAGCAAATTTCTCCGTATACAGTATAGTATATAAACAGGGCACTATAAAGTTCCTAACTGTAACTTATTTTATAAACAATGACTGATATATGGTGGAATTTGACCAGCAATCCTTGGCTGTCATCCAAGGGGGAAGGGTACTGTAAAAATATATCTGTTAGTAAATTCAAGTACAGCTCCTCCCTGACTTACAACCACCCGCACTTACAAACTGCCTCAGTCGTACCAAAATTTTGTCAAATTAGGTATTTTCGAGTCCCAACGTCAGTACACAGAGAAAATTTTCGTTTGTAATTCACTTTAAAATGGCTGGCAAGCTTAAAAGTGAGAGTTTTGTGGTGCTGAGAAGAAAAAGAGACACCCATTTCAGATTTTCTATGTATAATTTAAGCATTTTCGACTTACGACCTGGATTTGGGTCCCTAACCCCGTCGTAAGTCGGGGAGGAGCTGTACTGTATTGTATAGACAAACTCTAACAATTAAATTAGGCAATGAAAGTTACAATATAAAATATGGTTATAATTATGAAAAATGAACAAATCACAAGTTTTTAGATACTGTATTAGTAATGACAGAGAGAATATTAAGATAAAAGAAAGTTTTCACTGAGAAGCACACTGTTTAAATTCTTGTGGACAATAATGTAATGTGAATATGTCAACTGTAAGAATGCTGGAAAAAGTTACAATCTTTTGTAAGGAATGAGCAGATACACTGTCAATTTTTTTTACATACTGTACAGTAGTGTACTAATATTTAGTAGAGTTGCAAAATCTCATTTTAATACAGGATTGATTTTGTTTTGTGTGTGTGTGTTTGTGTGTGCGTGCATGTGTGTGGGGGGGGGGGTGACAAATAAATCCAATGTGCACTAAAATGACAAATTGGAGCACAACTCAGTGAGCCTTATCATCTTCATCAATGTTTTACGTTTTAGGGCGTGGGTTAGTTGCAGTTACCTCCAACTTAACCCCTGGTTTTGGGGTGAATTTTTGAAGCTTCAAAAGTCAAATTGTATGTCAGTATATATGGTATATATGCGAGGTAAGAAGTTTGTATAATTTCCTGTCCCAAAAAGATTATATGAGAAATCTTTAAGTGTATTTGTAAGGAAGGGTTCTACTGCATACATTCAAGGTACAGTATATTTCATTGCACTATTACCCAACCTGGAAATAAAATTGTAGCATTTTTTTATAGCTTAGTATATAAACATTTGTGTTAATGAGCTTTACCACGTCCAGCAGCACAAGTGGGTGGCCTTGAGAGCAGGAGAACTGGAAGTTTTGCCTCATCTGGGCTTTCAGGTAACTTTGAGCCTGGCACCAGTAATTGTGATCGCCGTTTATTAATGACGTCATCAGGTTCCTTAGAATATGTCACCAGATCACGAAGTCCACTGTCATAAAGAGGACTGTCTACTGGCCAATCTGGATGATCTACTGTTTGTGTCAAATCTGGAATTATATTAAAGCCATATAAACTTTTTGTTATCCAACTTAAGATCTTATTCAGTATTAGAGATAAGATGCTACAGGGCACACCACAGCATATGAGAGACAACTTTGTAATTACAGTACAATAAATTTGCAATCCATCCTGGTTAAGAAAAGCTGTGAAACATTATTCATGAATAATAGTCCAACAATATGTTAGTAAGTCATCTAAGAGCTCCTGACCAAACAGAAACTCTCCTGGCTTAAATGAATGACACCTAAAGAGTGAAGGAAAACACAAAGACACTTCTTTCTACAGTAAAATTACAAGTACTGTACAGTAAAGTATAATTTCATAAATTGAAAGACATTTTTATTATTTAAAGTAGGGTCAGGCTTTCACAGTAGTGATACATGAATTTTCATTAATTATCAGTAAAGAATGTTTACCTCTGATTAATCAATGAGCTTACAACATAAGAATCGTTACAAATAAGCTACTTCATTCCACTAATCTACAATAAAACAAACTGATTCACATGCTGTGTATAAGAAGCATATTAACTATACAGGGGGCCCCCCCAAGTTCGCGAATTTTTATTTCGCAGTCCTCTACTATTAGTGGATGACACGCCGGATGTACCCAAGAATGTCTGTGGCTAGTTTTAAAGATGCAGGCATTTTCACGGCTGGGACAGGGAGTCATTCGTTCTAGAGAGAGTAATTTCTTTACCTGCATTGTAAATGTGTGTGTGCACACACACACACAAATAAATAATAATTGGAAAATCATCTCACAAATAATCAGAAACAAATATATTAAACTGTGAGTCTACCCTCAAGTCCGTGCTTTATTACTTTATAAATAGAGCACGGACTTGAGGGTAGACTGTCACATTTTTAATAAATTTGTTTGATTATTTGTTAAGAGTATTTTCCCATTATTATTTATTTGTATGTGTTTTGTGTGTGTGTGTCTACACATATATATATACAATACTGAACAGGTAAAAGAAATAATTGTCCAAAGGGCAAACACATAAGGGGAATATACATTTCTTTGTACACAAGAAAAAATGTACCCCCCCCCCAGGTCCACAAATGTTATTTGCGGATTCGGTGATTCACTGCCATTTTGAAAACCTAACCCCAATGAATTTGGGGGGTGGGGTATGTTTTGGCGCAGCCGTTTGGGCACTGGCGATTTGGCACAGTCGTTTGGGCGCCAGCCCATTTGGCGACGGATGTTTTGGAGCTAAGAGCATTGTTTATTTGGAAAACTGGTTTTTATTCTACATACAGTACTTTTAAATTCAAGAGTTGATACGCAAAGTAACATTTGCATCTGACTGAAACTAACAGAACTAAACAACTAACCTCTACTACTCACTACTACCAAACTACTCAACTAGCTGTTTGCTCAGGCGACAGATAATCATTCGGTGGCAGCCCACCGTCGATTAAAATGTGAACTTATCATGCAACGTCCCACCATATGGAAATTAATAGAGGGGCTGCGTAAAGTACAGAAAGGTAGAGATGCATATTATGAACGGTTACAAGCTGGGAATGAACCACCGTAGAAACTAAAAAAGTATAGAGATGCAGATAAAATAATACATGAAACCGTTCTCAGATGTGAAAACATAGATGTTGTCAAGCACCTGAGGAGCCTAGCTCATAATTACCAAACGAAGAGCTAAAAAAGTTACATAACTTTTTTTTATTGATTAACGGATTTAACTTATTAGGTATAAAGGTAAATTACAGTTTTAAAATTTTTTAAAGTTTGACCTTTGAATTATGACGAATCAAACGAACATTTTATTTCCTAGCGCCAAAATGTATGGCGCCCAAAAACCTGGCGCCAAATCAGCTGGCAAACAAACGTCCGTGGCCAAACGACTGCGCCCAATCGTCTCATTCCCGAATTTGGGGGGGGGGAGGGCCTGTACAAGGAGATAAGTGAAGAGATATAGAAAGTACAGTAATCGAAATGCATGAATGAGGGGAAAAAATGATTTTAATTGCTGATTAGATGAGCAAATGATCTGCATGGCATAATTTTTTTTTTTATTGGGCACTCCCCTACATCCTTGTGTAAGATGAAGCGCAGAAGCGTTTACAGCGCCCAACAGGGAAGCATGCTAAGTTCATGCTTGCCTTTATGTCTCATGAGTTAAGGGCGTAGAAGCCTGAAGAGTCAACGGTGTAGAAGCCTGAAGAGTCAAGGGCGTAGAAGCCTGAAGAGTCAGTGGTTTATGTCATCAAGTTATTGGAAGCTCCAACAACTCCCTGAATATGAATTCGCAACTTTTGACTTACAACAGGTACCTACTTTACTGCTAGGTTAACAGGGACTAATGGGGGCTAGGAAGTAAGTCCAAACAACTTCCACCGGCCCGGGAATCGAACCCGTGACATCTCGCTTGCGAGGCAAGAACGGTACCGCTTCTACCACCGGTCCCCCTGCATGGCATAATCATAATCAAGCCCCCCTTGGAAGATCCAGTCAAAACCCAGGTATGAAAAGCTTAACAAGGTACAACAACCATATGGACAATGTTTTCCTGTAATGCTGCCTTCTCACCTCAGTGCGTCCAGATTCAGATTCTAGAAAATATTCAGACCAGGAGTCTTTGAAGCTTGAATCACCCATATAGGAAATTGTGAACAACATGCAGTTCTCTGTTAATCTAAAACTTCACTATAAGGAATCCAGATTCCTTGCTCATATTCTTGGCAATAAAAAAATATTTCATGCTTCTATAATTCACCGATGCTCTATATTGTAGAGCCTAACAAGTAACCTGTGATACTGTATCTAACTATAGTCATCGCCCACTTAATGTACATAATGCATTTCTGAAAACCCATAGAAATCCATGTTATAAACTGAGATATGTTCCATAACATCCAATTTCTTTATTACCCTGAATTACCTCTAATGACAGAATGGTGAAATATGAACCTATAAACTTATAAAAGTGAACAAGTTTCTTATATCAACTTGCATATTGGACTTAAGGAGCAGAGAAATTAGTGCTACCTGTACCACTTTTCACAGGTTACATAATTTGTCCTTTACCTTGCAATTTACAAGACCAAACTACCAGACAAATTTGATGCATGGTAAACAGAAACTTGTTCAATTTCTCTCATTAATAAAATATGCATACACTCCCAAGTTGTCCATATATATAAATGGCATCTGAATTTTACCAATATCTACCTGATGTATTAGCTGCAATGGGTGACTTCTTGCATGGCAAAGTTACTCGAGGGTCACGAACTGTCAGCGGCAATACCACTTGTGGCAGCTGCGGACATGAAGCCAGCTTCTTCCAGGAGTCTACTTGTTGTTGGTGACACAATTCTCTTTCTTTATCATGATAGTACTGTTTCCACCATGGCTGTAAAAATTCTTCACTCTTGTCACATGAAATAATTTCATTTTCTTCAGTTGCATATGTTACTTTGGCAGGAATGAGAGCAGCCATCAAGACATCATAAGATCTGGGCCCTGTGAGATGAAATCTATTTAATGTGTCTTTAAGTAATGTCATTGTTATACAGTTGTCAGAGGAAGTATACTTTGGTGTTCTTTGAAATGGGACATTTCTTTTTTCAAGTTTTAACTCATTAACCTTTTTTGCATTTTTACTTTTCTTTTTCTTTTTACTTTTGACCTCATCAGTCTTTATCAAATCACTATGAGTATTTTCTTTCTTTGCAAATTCCATGCTTTCTTTTGTTTCAGATACACCCTGCATCATTTCTTCTCCACAACTTACATCACAGTTTTCTTTTTTAGTTTCACCCACATCCATTATAATTTCTTGACTAGACACAACCTCAGATTTACTTGCAGATTTTACCAATTGGAAAACTTGTGTTAAAGCTTCTATAACATGATTATAAGAAGAAGGGTGAACCCACATCCACATTCTTGAATTATCTGTTTGGGTTCTTGATGCGCCAGAGAATGGAGGGTGCCACAGAATATCAACATCACCGAGAGCACCTTTTGGCTGTCTGTAAATAAAATACTTTTAAGTCATAGAATATATAAACTGCATATAAAATCAATACAGTAATTATATAAGAAATAGAGTGTAATAATGTGTTCACTTAAAATAGCCCAGGTAGGGGATCTTTTTGCTTATCAATTAAAATTTTACCTTTCTGGCTTAAAGAGTGTCAAAGATATCCACTTCTGACCAAGCTGGGCCTGTGGAGTGTTAAGTGCTGCTAGACTTGATGGATGACTTACACGAGACAAACCAGCTATGATTAATGTACTTGGTCCCTCCAGCTCTAGGCAGCACAAGTAGGAAACATCCTAGAAAATTAGTAACAAATGATATGTTGTTAGAACACTTTCAATTGTAGTAAAAACTGAAATAATGTTTATTGCACAAATATGTAATATTAAGTGGTAATACACAGTACTGAATCACCACCACAAAATAAACAGTATTCAGATCTTTACATAAATCAAGATATTGAACAAATACATGGCAATTAGAATTCAGATGTAACATTTTTGAAGATAACTCCTAAATTCTTTGTTTTTTTTATCAGCCTTGAATGCATAAGGTCGCTAAATATTGAATATCTAAAAATCGTGGCATCCAATTTTGGTTAGCAAGGGTTGGGTCCAATGGGAATTAAGGGGTTTGGGGAAGTGATCCCTTAGACATATCTAAAGTTCTATAGTGTACAGCTCAAGTTTGAAAATAAGTACTGTACACAGTGTATGCTATTCATGACCCCTTTTTATCAAAATGTATACAGTACAAATACTATACAGTATACTGCTCAGGTATTAAAAACCTTATAAAACATAGTGTAATGGAGCAGTCTACCCTGATGATATGCCTGGCCTTAACACTCTCCCTAGCAATGGAAATATGAGAAAGGTTTTTTATACCCTAGAAGGTTTTCATATACAAATGTAAGTATGAGCATTATAATCCACATTTCAGGCATGAAATAATATGTGTAAGGACAAATATTATACATGTGGGTTTGGTCTTGATTATGATGTTCAGGGTAGTACTGTACCTGCATTCTTGTTTACCATCGAGTCAGGCCAGTGAATACCCCTCATCACCGCCCTCATTCTGTCGTAATTGCCACTGTAATATTTGAACCTTGGCCTGCTCTTATCATTAACCAACTAACAGTTAAATCTGAAGGACAATGTCACATGATGGTCTTGTGCCAACGGGAGCTAGGTGAGGTCCAGCAGTTTGGGTGTTTGATCCCCTCTATAGTATGTCAGATCTTTAACATATTGGAAGAGAAAAGTGTCTCTCAGAATTCTACAAAAAGAGTAGCAAGATTATTAAGGTCATTTGATGTAATTTTATTCCTCCAGTCAATGTTCCCATAGTTGAAGTCCCCCATGGCAAGGAGGTGGCTAGAGTTGGGTGTCATTACATTGTCTATTAAGGCTCTTAAGTTCCCTTGGTTTAATAAGCTGCAATTCGGTGGTCTATAGATGCATCCAACAGGGAGTAAATCTCTCCCCTTCAGTTTAATTTTGCACCACTTCAATTCTTTGAGTCGACAAATAACAAAAACACAGATTGGCTTGGGAGAAGGAGAGCCTTGGGGATGTAGCTACAGGGACAGTCTAACTTGGTGACATGCCAAGTCCACACACATGTTCACTGTACACACATACATACACACCCATTTTCTTCATTTTTCTTATTTAATATCAATATGCCACCTCCGTGGATATGTAATGAAAAGTTTATATTATTATTCAATTTATATTAAACTAGTTTATATGTATCTGACTCAAATTTAATTAAATGTAAATGCAGGGATTGTTTAGTAAAGGAGCCGGCAACTTAGTTAGGCTTTAACGAGTGTTATCTGCGGCCATGGAACCTAACCCCCTATTTCTCATAAGCCTCTAGTTTTGTCAACAAAGGATTTGCAAACCATGGGGGTTTTCAGGAACCAAACCACTACAATTGGCGAGGGACTACTGTATATAAACAATCATGCACTATGTAAACCATAAAATATTACCAAAAAGTAGTAATATATGCTCAATATTCAGTGTGAGTTAGTTAATAGCCACACCTTGGTATCCATCTATAGACACCATTGAAAATGGATATTTTACTGTTTCCAGCAATTATCTCCTTACCTGAAGAAGGCAGGACTTAGCAGCTGCTCTGAGAGTTGCCCTGTAACCTTTGAATGTGGGTGTGTCTGGGAGAGCATAGCCCCATTGTCTTTTCATCTGGAAGCGCTTAGCATGCCATATGTGTGTTTCTAGCCAGACAAAGTCCTTCTGACGCCGGTTGTACTCCATCAGGAGATTGAATGGTCGTCGACGGTACTTTCTCCTGGGGCGATGACTAGGCTTAACATTAGCACCACCCTGTAAGAAAATGACAAAGACAAGTTACTTCTCATAATATGAAAACTGACACATCACATTCCAAATGCCATTTCCAACTAAGGAGAGGAGAAAGGTGCACCAAGCCTAAACCTGTTATAATATTACATCAAGGAGGAGAGGGAAGAATGGGGAGAAGGGCTGAACAAAATTGAGGAAGATGGACAACCAGGAACAAGTAGGGAGTGGGAATGTGAGGCAAGAATGGTGTCAAGTGTCAAACTTTTATTTTTGCTGAGGAGTAACACTAGCTCATGTGGGACAAGGATTTAACTAGCTTTGAGGCCTTGTTGTAGAAGGGAAGTACCAAAGAATAACACATCTTTTCTAGAAGAAAGAATAACTGAGTGGCAAAATCTAAAGGGGAAATGTGTGTATGTGTATTTATCCTTGTTTCTGGCCACAATGCATTAAAAATGGAGAAAATTCTGATCTTACACCTGAACTGTTTTCTTCATAAATGACTGAATTGATAAAAAATTAAACAAGATATTCTCTTGAGTCTTTAACTGAATGAAGTGTACTTTTAATGCACACCAAGAATGCTCAAATGCATGTGGGTGATGTGTGCCAATTTACATGTGGGTAGGTGTATGCAAGAATCTGTACCTTTGTAATTGATATCCAAATGGGGTCAGGTCACCGACCAGCATCGGGGACTCGGGGGCAAAAAAATAAATAAATAAATACAGAAATGGAACAATTAAACAAATCAAGAGTAAAAAACGATATACTGTATATGTTGTGTTGCCAAAGTAAGAGAAACAATTGAGACCCTGCAACTATGTGTAAATGAGGCAAAAAGTAAATCAGATTAGCAACCTGGGACTCGGTTATAATTTTTGTAATGCCATATGGCAGTAGGGTCTATCATTAGACAACACATTGTGCTTCCAATATCTTCCCAGATGATAGTACCTCCCTGTTTGATAACTGCCTACTACCTACGACTCTCACACAACACGGATTACAGGATGGATGGTCAAATCTTACCTCCCTTCTATGTTTTTCTTGGAGATATCTTGGTAAACGCTTGGGATTTGAAGATACTGCTCTTCTTTGCATATGCCGTGGCAAATTTTGGAAGACCCGACCTCCATGTTCACAATTTTCTGGAATATATAAAGTAATGAATATATGTAGAGTCCACCTAATTTTTTCAGATAAAAAAGGTGAGTGTCAAGTTTGAAAGCAAAATTTAAAAAATACAGATAAAACAATTAAAAAAGGCACATTACATAATACAAGAATATAAAAAAACACACTAGAAGCAGATGCTTATGCTCATCTGTTTATGGCCGAGATAAAACAGAAAGCTTAACCAACCACAATAACAGCAATATGAAAGGTGGTGACAGCAACACTCCAGTTTATTAAAAAGTAAATGAACTAAAAATAAATGTTATTACACTGCAACATGAAATAAGGTCAATGTAAAAATTTGAGGTTACTGTAATATTTGCTTGACATGGAGCAGATGATGGGCCTCAGTTGAATATAAACATGACCTATATTTTCCAGAAAATAGGTCATGGCTATCTATTTTTCAGCAAGTAACTACTTTACTGAAATTTGCTATATACCAAACCAATCATCAGATTTCAGTAGTATGTACCTCTCAATTACAAACGAATTTGGTGTATACTGAACCATTTACTTCTAAAATATCTCAAATATTTAAATACAGTATAATACTACCCTATACACTAATATAATTCTCTACAGTGACCTAGAAATACTGCAAATAAAATATACTACTAAAAAAAAAAAGGACCGGGTAGTGGGAAGTTAATTCTGTGTGGAAGACAAGGTAGGTAAGGTGGGTTGTTGGCTGTACAGAACACCTGTCTCACAAACTCTTAAGGCAACAATATGCAATTTCACCATAATTTCCATATTATTTAGGTTCATCTGGTGCCAGGTAAATAATAAATTATTGTACAATAATCAGTTTTCTTCCAAAAAGAATCCCACACTCAACCCCAGATGAGTTATTGTGTTGTATTAGATTCCTGGTGTTCTGTTTACATAGACAAACAGCTGACCAGCCAGCAGCCAGGGAAGGAGTTGTTTATATAATAATGTACAGGGGATCCCCGGATTATGAGCGGGTTCCGTTCCTAAGGACATTCGTAAGTCGGAACACATGCAATACGCATACCGTACATACAAAACAATGTTTAGGATCCCACTACAGTATATCATAGCCTAAGTCCTTATATACATGTAATATTACTTAATTTAAGACAAAAGAAGAAATAAAATGACAAAATACAGTAAACGAAAGTAAAAAATATATCATCAGGCAAATAAAATACTGTAAATTTCAAGTTTAACCCCGTTCGTATTGACGGGCATTCTTAAGTCAGGAACCTCCTGTTCTATAGAACTACTTTTTGTATAATGTCTATGTGCCATTGTATTTTTATGTATTATGTATGATATTTAGTGTTGATTAAAGTCTTATATTACCAAACTACACTTTATATGAAAAAAATCTCATATTGTAACAATTTATCTGGATTACAAATACCCGGTACCCAAATTTTTCATTTCTATACAAATCCAAAAACTTCCCTGTACTGTACTGAACTGGCTGCTTACTGTATGTACACGTGGACAAAGTTCAAACCATGATACGCGTGTCAAAAAATTTATGTACGGTAGGTGCAAAAATAATGAAACCCCCTGCACGTCTTCATTCTATAAACAACCCTACCCAGGTTCAAGAAAATTCTCTGAAAAATAAAAGGGGGAATTTGATTACACACACAGGAAATTGACTTCAATGTGAGACAGACATTAGGTGAAGCACTTGAATCCATTATGGTGTTATGCGATATGGCTGATAAAAATTCACACAAAAAGTTATGAAAAGAAGACAAAAAAGTTTAGGGATATCGGTATAAGCTATCACAAAATACCCTATGAAATATCATACAATCCTTTATACATTTCATCAAAAAAAGAATATCAGTACCTATATGAAATAATGACAACTTCAATGGTCACATACCTAACTTTGAGACAATAGATTTTATTTCTTGTATTCGAGCAGCCCCAAGAGACAAGTAGTAACCCTGCCTTGGAAGCTCCTCCATCTTGCTGCAGGCTCACCTAAAATTAAAGACATGAGAAGCCATTATTAGTCTGAAAACTCTCACCATAAACATTTTACAATGCAGTACGGTACTGTAACTTTTATTACAAGTTATTATGAATGTGTCCATAAGGAATAAATGCCACCCTGAAACCCACTGAGGAAATTTCTTTATGTAATCTTCAGAATGGAGAAATGTGTGTACTGATAGTAACTGATAAAATGGTTGGCGTACAATTAAGTTGGTGTTACCCGCTTGTCAGCATGTTTGATATAACACAAGACAGATGTACAAACACAAAGATAAACACACATACAGATGTGCTGTATAATAATGATAATGATGATAATAATAATAATAATAATAATAATGAAAGTTGAAGCATAAACTATCAATGAAGTGGGTATGAGTTGACTTGTACTCAGTGCGATAAATACTGCTGGTGTCAGGCGCTGATCCTTCCAGTGTGACAAACCTTCCCATTGTGTAAGAGGCATATGAACGAGCTTTGCCAGGAAGTTCTGTAGCACATTACCATGCAAATTTCATTTCAGTGTGACAAACCCAACATAACCTAACCTAACCAAACATAACCTAACCAAGTTGGAAGGAATATTGCAAGAAATCTCATTAATATTCATGAACTTGATGCGTATGCGTAGCGAGTTCTTCCGGAAAGTTTTGTGTGCGGAAGGTTTGTCGCACGACACCAGTTTATTCAATTTCAGTGAACAAGCGTATTAAAACTTTCACCATAATTTCCTTAAAAATATTAATTAAATCCATGGGTAAGGTATAAAAAGGATATCTATCCTCAGTGGTTGTTGGGAAAATGAATGACATAAAATTTGACAAACACTGCAGTGAGGGTAGCACTTAATGACCTCACTCGGTGAGCAGTACATTCCTGGTCGAGTACAAATAACGTGTGCAGTATCTGCACCCTCTTGTGAAAATAAATAAATAATTTAATCTACAGTGGACATTTTCCCATGACCGGCTAAGTTCCTAGAAATGCTGTATTACCGTGAGTGCGCTCTGGGTATTATCACAGTTTCAACCCCAACTCGGTTAGAGCAATTTTGTGTTACCATTAGTTATATCTCGTCAATAGGAAAACCTTTTACTTATACCACTTCCGTTGCAAATGGATATTAACCGAGATAGTAAATTCACATTAGAAATGAACGTAAATCTGCAGTCGCCGCATGTCGCCTGTTTGTTTAGAAATAACACGCCTGGTGTGAGCGTACTCACGTCTACAAAAAATATCAAATTACACCATGATGCTTCAAAAAAGTTTATTTCATTAGTATCAGATATCAAAATAAATACATTTTGTTTAATTTGGTGGGGAAGGCTAAGATATAAGGTAAGGTTAGGTAGGTTTCTTTGATTGGTTAGGTCAGGTTCTATAGGGTGGTAGGGGTTGATAAATCCAAAACAACTCACTTCTGACGGAAATAAAAGTCAAATTCGAATGAATCACACCAAATACCACGGGAAAGAAAAAATTATGGTTTGACAGTAGTTGAGCCTGAAACTGCAAATTTACCAGTTTTGTTCGCCGGTAATGGACGAATAGCCAATCAGAGCCAATTCACGGTAAAACATCGTTAATAGGAACTTAGCCTGTCACGGCAAAATAACCACTTAACCTATCCATATTTGCTCAGTCTGATTTTTTATTATATGTTACTTGCTGCGCCTCGCTATGAATGAAGACTGACCTAATAGACATTGTTGTTTCGGTCATCCATCTATTTGACAGTAGGTCCTATCTAACTCTCAGGAGCTTTGTACCAAGTGCCACTTATATAATTGACTTACCTTCAGTTTTATAACACAATTAAATATATTCCTGCAGGGTATTAAGCCATAACTAACTAGGACTCCACACACTTGCACTTCACGTGTGGTCGGTGTAGTGTTTACTCTCTGGCTCGTTCTTGGCCCCGGATGCGGATTCACGGTATAGTTTACACGAACGAAGAATTGTCAATAATATACATATATAATTTTTTATTTTATCGTTTCTACCATTTATCTACTGTTCTTTCTTTCATATATTTAAATTGGGGTTATCAAACGCCCTTATTTTCTCGTACATGTCTTCCTTTTTAAATTTTTTCCTTAAATCTCCGTTCGGGAGGAATTTTTAAATACCTTAAAATGTCCAGGATTTTGCCCTTTACTATATTTCCCAAAATATTTTCGATGCTACACGCTATTATATGAAATTACGAGTAAAATATTCATTGGTTTTGGGGAGAAAGAGTGTTGATCATGAGTGGTATTTGGTAGGGTCACACTGAAAAAAAAACCTTCTCACGTGCGTCCTGGCTGAGGCTCGAACCCTGGACATATTAACGAGAGTTATGCGAAAGAGTGAGCGTGTGTCGACCGATTTGATTTTAGTATCTAACGTTTGGCAGCCTTTTCGGATCTCATGCTATCACAGTTGATTTTACTTTGTCTAATGCCACTGGAGGTACAGTTGCTCTTATTTCTGCTTATTTAATTTACATCATGTAATTCCAAAGAGAAGTCTATGTACTCTAAGTGCGGATCCGGAGGGAGGGGAGGGGAGGGGTCTGGGGATCCGGACTTTCCCTATTCTCCAGAAAATTTCAATATTTTTCTTCAATGCAGCATTGTACTCGGGCGTTTTAGTATACTAAAAAGTATTTACTATTGACTTCAGAATATCTCCTAATATCAAGTGCACATGGCTTCAAAATGCCTTTTACCCTCATTTCTACTTGTAATTTATTTTTCAATGCTTTTGTCATGTCCCAATTTGGTAAATATTTGTGTAATGGTTGTGGCTCCTTTTTGTTGAGAGAATAGTTTTTCGTGCATTTTAGGTGTCACAAACATAACCAAACCTGGTAATTATTGATGACTAAAATTACAGACAGTGATTCTTTATAAAGTTCATGTTTGACCTTTACGGGAGGCAACACGTTACAAATACAGACTGTACAGGGTATATACAATACCCTGTACTTTACTTATCCTCCTCGCCCCTGACAGGCCTGTTAGCCTTGTGGGCGGTCGGTCATGGACTGTTTAGGCTCCTTCAACCTGAAGCTGTGATCTCTTGTGGGGCGGGCATTTACTAGTTCCAAGTATGAATGTCGTCTAAGGTGCTTATATACGTATATAGTGTAAACCAGGCAGCTGCAGGCATTTTAATATCTCTGGGTACCAAAGGTGCTGGGGTGCAGGCACCAGGGTATTTTCAATCAACTGACAGCCTCGAGAATATCTTCAGGAACAGATGGGGTGACAGAGCTCCGAACGAGGCATAATCAGGGACGGATCATTTAGGTCTGTGAACAAATTTCTTATAAGACTTAGTAGCTTTTTTTTTATCTTATTTCAATGGTCCAAGAACTTCAGTTCATTGCCTACATGCACACCTGGGTCCTTTTCATATTTGGTCCAGTCTGTGATGTTTCTTCTTCCCGCTGGGACATGTGATACACCTCCTTACTATTGGTATGACCTAGATGCATCCTTTTGCATTACGTGATGTTGAGTCACAGCAACCACTCCTTTCACCATTCCCGAAGCCAACAGTGATCTTATTGCAGCACTTCACATTCCATTTGGTTCTTAATTTCCCTGAATAACTTGGCATCATTTGCAAACATTTGCACGGAGGAACGTATAGCATCTGGTATATTTTCTATGAAACAAACAAACAACAATGGGTTCCAATACACTGCCCTGTGGTACCTCGCTTGTCGTGGGTACACAGGACAATTTCGTGCCATTAAACATTACACACCGCTTACGGTTATGAAGAAAGTTTTTATCCTTGCCAGAATGCTCCCCCAAGTTCCGTACCTTTCCAGTTTAATCTTCAACCTTTCATGAGGTATGCTGTCAAAAGCTGACACAGGTAAGATACATCTTATCAATATTCCCACCAGGATCTACAGTACTGTATGTCCTAACATACAGCATCTTAAGTAATTGCATCAAGCAATAGCATCCAGGCATAAACCTCCCCAACAGTATGTTCTCTAAACTCAGTGGCAGATTATGATTGTCCACCGAGGCCCTTAAAGCTGAAGCCTCAGACCCCATATAAATTTTTTTTTAGCCATCAATAAATTACACTGTCTTAAGGTTCTTTGTCTTCGTTTCTCAGCATCATGTGTGGACGGTAAATCATGTAAATGCATTATACAATGTATATATGTATCGTTAATAAAACATCTATATAAAAGGACCTCAAAATAAAATCTACCTCGGGCCCCAAGTACAGTTACTCAAAATACTTGTACTGTTTCTCCAGACACAAAGAATTATACCACGGGCTGACAAAACCTGCAGATTGTCTTTTCTTTTTGTCATTAATTATTACCGATACAGTATACAGTACTATACAATATGCATATTTCGGTGATTATAGTATTGTAACCATATGGCTATACAGTGGAATGTGCTTTGAAGTACCAAAATAGTTTTATACGTTTCTCTAGTTGCAGTGAAGAGGTTGATAGATTTGATGGTATTCTAGAATGGCACATTATAATGCATCATAGTAATGCATAGTTGTACAAATTTTCAAACAATTCAATAGACAGACAACTGGCGACTTGGTGTTTGAGGTTTGTTGCAATTTACATTGTGATAACCCCTCGAGCCTGTTTGGAGTTTGGTTCTCTAACCACTGTCCTGGTGTTATTGGGGAATTTATTGTCTCATGGCCTAAAAACAAGTCCATCCATCCCAGTAGTTGTGTTCTTTTTTATTTTAATCCTCTTCCCCACTGATCAGCTCGTTAGCCACTTGGGCAGTCGGTTGTCTCTCTGTTATGCACTGTCTTTGTATTCAATCTGAATAAACTAATTTGAATTATATAATAAAGACATTTGTAAACTTTACAAAATGCTAAATTTCTGGTTTGAATTCTCGAGGTCACAGTGCATCGTGGCCAAGACACGGTGATCGAAGGAGGGACTCTGAATAAGAGGTTGAGAACCACTGTCCAGGGAGAGAAGGCAGGACCCAAAAGTGCCTCCTACTGTAGCTGGTTATCCATTACTGTTCCCATAGTTGGTTGAATGAAACACCACCTGAGGAGGGAAGGTGTGTAATTCATGAAATGCCTGACAAAATGTAACATATTGAGACTAGGCAAACAATAGCGCTACATACAATGAACAGTTGCAGGAGACTTAAGTGTTGTAGATAAACATTCAGCATTCACTTGAAACTGAACAGTTCATTATACAACATTGAACAATTCATCATTTGGGAAAAGTGATACAAGTGGTGGTGATGGTGGAGGAATTGGGGGGGGGGGATAGTGAAGAAATGGAGGTGATGGTAAGGGAAACGGTGATGGTGGAGGGCGTGGTGATGGTGGAGGGAGTAGTGGTGGTGATGGTGGAGGGAATAGTGGTGATTATGGTGGATGTGGTTGTTAATCTTGGAGGAAGGGAGTAATGGTGATTGGTGGTGATTGGTGGTAAAGGGATTGGTGGTGATTGGTGGAAAAAGGGAGTGGTGGTGATTGGTGGTGAAGGGAGTGGTGGTGATTGTGGTGGGTGGGGGGGGGAGTGGTGGTGTAGGTGACTATAGTAAGGAAATAGTATCATAAGTTAGCAATTAGTGTAGGTGAGAAGAGCATTGGTGAAGGTGATGGCAGAGTGCTGGTGGTGAGGGAGAGGGTGGTGAGGGTGAAGGTGTGGAGGGACAGTGGGCAGCCAGACACACACACTGATGACATCTGGGAACCGCCTGATACCTGGTGTAATACATCTCCTGGACACTACAGAATAAATGCATTGGGGCAATAATCTACATAATATACTCAACTAGGACTAACAATAATGCAACACAAGCCATTGTCCCGTTAGTTTGTACAACTCTAGTTGGGATGAGTAGTCTCTGTTTTATGAACTAAGATGGGGCCTAAATAATGTTACAGTCCAGTTGATCCTGTCGCTAAATAAATGTATTACAGGTTTAATATTCATCAACTAGCTAGTATGTTACTAAAGTTACCCAAAACTTTGATCGTGATGGGAAATACTATTTAAACTGTGCAGGTAAGTTGAGGCTCCCCTCCACTCTAACAACTGAGGCATTTTATATAGTCTATGCTACTAAAACTGCTCTGGGAGAGGCAGGCGGACAAAGTGTGCGGCTGTGGTGTAAAGAGCACTGCCAACATGATAGAGTGTACGTATGGCTCATACTAGTAATAAACTGGAGAAGTTATTTTCATAGTGATGCTGGACACGCATTATGTGATGGCCACAACAAGGTAGAAAATGCGATGTGAATTTTTCAATACAAGAATTTTTGGTAGGATGCTTTATAAACTGATATGATTAAGGGGGGTATGGATGTAGTCATGTGGTTTGTGTGTAGCTGTGGTGTTAGTACAAGCCTGTGGGTGCATGTAGGTGTGATATGTTACGTGGTGATGTGTTCATTGAAGTGCAGTTATTGTCATGTAACAATAATTATAAGGATAGGGTAGAGGCAAATGACACTGTGTTAAGTGTTTTCTGGATGAAGAGGAACAGTGAGTGGATGGAGGGGTGCAGAGGTGATGTCATACTGCCTACATGAATCAGGTTTTTGGGTGAGTTATGGTGTGGGGAGGACTGGGCAAGGACAGTGGCATTAATAGTAAAAAGTTTTCACGGAAATTGGAAGTAAAAAGAGGGTATTTATAATTGGAAACGACAGTAATAACAGGGGTGGTGTGGTAATAAGGAATGGACAGGTGTCATGGAGAACAAGGACAACATTAACTGAGGACAGTGGTGCTGGGAATGGATTGGTAATGGAAAAAGGACACTGGTTCAAGGAATGGAACAGAGATGGGAAAAGGGACATGAATTATAAGAATGGACAGCCATGACGGGAGAGGACAGTGATACTAGAGGGAGAGGGAAGTGGTGAAATATGCAACAGGAACTAAAGTGGTGACTGCATAGCAGGCACAAGGAGGGCTCAACGAAGCCCTCCACAATACAAGTAGACCTCGAAAGATCTTTCCCAAGCGGAAGCAGCAGCATCCACGTAGTGTGATGACTTACACAAGACAGCAAGGATAAACTATAAATATGAAAATACCTATTTCATTCCACTCGTCTATATGTTGTCTAGCTTATCTCCATACAATTAGTGATAAAATAAAGAGCATCTCTTTATGACGGCATATAAAGATAGTATATCTGACGAGCTGAGCGACCAAATAAACCTTAGGTTTTACCTCCATAAGGCCCATTCTTTATCTTATGTAAACTGGGGAATAAGCCTTAGAGTTGTGGTTTCCTAGTGCCAAAGTTTTGCCTACAGAGTTCTCATACATTTTGAACAGCTAAATACATGGTGAAGACAGCAGGTGCAGCTCAGACGTAAAATGAGTGATTCAAAAAATTACAATTTGTGAAGACTATGGCTATGATGCCTTGTAGTCGCATTCTAGAATCTGCCTCACCTAAGTTACACCAGGCGCAGTATATGACTCATATAAAAATACTTTACAAATTCACTTGATCAGTAACTCTCTTTACATCTATTTACACACTAATAAATCAGGAATAAAGATACTTAAAGATTTGAAAAATGCAAAATTGCAAACAATTTATCATCAGATACCGAGTGATAAGTCTTCGTTCATATACTATTAAATGAGTCATATTCTCGAACACGACACTTTGATTCTCTTCTATAATACAGGCAATAAAGCCCAACAAGGCTACCCGTTGTGTAGCATCTTATTGCTTACAATTAGCAGTAACAACAGTGTCTGTGGTGGGAGAGAGAAAAATATATAGCCTAACTTCCCAAGTGCGATACTCTAGCAACGTTCGGCTAGGGCAGGAGGGAGTGAACCCCTCACCCATGGTGTCCGCTTGATATGATGTGCATTCCATCTTTATATATATATATATATATATATATATATATATATATATATATATATATATATATATATATATATATATATATATATATATATATATATATATATATATATATATATATATATATATATATATATATATATATATATATATATATGTATATATATATATATATTTATATTTCAATGTGGTGCAATATGATCAACAACCTGCAGTGCCTCTGGGGACCACAAGCTTCTCTCTCCCAGGTACAAGTTTTCTCACATGCTTATGTAATAATGTACACGATATGAGGTGCTGCAGCTTTAACAACAGCCTAGTTCATTTATAATTCCAGTATAGTCATAATATATATTTATATATTTACAAAGAAGGCAACTCACGACTCTTGCTCATGGTAAAGGAAATTAAAGGGTAATCTTCAGTATTGCTTCATATAAAAAGTATTAAGTTATCTTCAAAATTACCTTTTTAAGGGATTCAGAGTTACATTATAATTTGTCTGCCTGACCAAGGTCGTAACTAACACCAAACAGATGCTGACACTTGGCTACTGGGACGTCACTTTAGGAAACTTGGGAGAAAAAACATTACCAAGGCTGGAGAGAAGGATGCTAGATTTTAATGCTAGCCAAATTCCCTTGAAGTGCTCTTGTTACAACATCTTTCACATTGAATGCAGATAAAATTACCACATCGTTGCCGTCAGCTACTCCACTGTGACTTGCATGGAACATCACGTCTTTTAAGTTGTGTTTAAAGTGGTGTCTCAGTACCCAAGAAGGCCTTTCTTCTCCCTATAAAGCTTGTATAATAAACTACTACTAATATATTCCTACCTACCCTTTCAACCAGAAAGAAAATAGATTGCTCTAAGGTTGTTGTTGTGACATAAAAGTTATGGGAGACTGTCAAACAACAGCTTCAAGAATTACGGATACATACTGGAAGATCCTGGCAGCATGGGGAGAGTTTACTGACACTACTTCAACCATACCTAACTATAATAGTATATAACCTAACAGTACACACTATACTAGGTTACACTGGGTTAGGCTATGGGAACTGATTTTGTTTTGGCTAAATATGCATGTGAAGAAGTCTACCCTATACCTGCCAAGATCTTATGGTTACTTGTCCAATATTTATGTATTATTAGGACGTAAGTAATGGCTGGGTAAAAGAAGGTGCGGAGGAGATGGTGAGGTGGGAGAAGGTGTGGCGTAAGGTACAGGAGCAAGAGCTTTCTTAGGGAGGGTGGTTGGGGCAAGTTGGCTCCAGTTTTTAAAATTTACACTTGTTTATACTATCAGGAAGAGGTTAATAATAATAATAATAATGATAAAAAAAAATCACTAGTTGTATCTGATAGTATGCTCGAAACAGTTTCAGAACAGTGTAAAGTGGTGCAAAGTGAGATCACAGGCTTGTTCTCCACCACTCATTACTCATGACGATGCTCCAAGCACTGACAATGCCCCTGAATTAGTGAGTGATCAGAGAGGTGTCTTGATAGCCCTGGGAAGTGTATTTATACCCCTGGAAGTTGTCTAGCTATCCCCGAGAGAGGTAACACTATTTAAGTTGACATGTTTTATGTTCAATGAGAGATATTTGTTTCTCAGTTATATTTTAGTGCCTAAGTTATTCTAGTGTTCAGGGAGGGATGTGGTATAGAAGCCTTGGGAGGAGTCATTGTGTATAAATGGTACTGTATGAGTATCATTGGTGGTGCTTCAGGATATCTTTATTCCTGAAGTAGGTGAAGAGTTACAGTAAGAGTTAGTGTCCAGGAGACATTATTGTGCCAGGGAAGGTGTCCTGGTTCCTAGGAAGGTGGCCACATTCCTTGGGAAGTACATTTAAAAAAAAACTTGCTTTAATGTAATCACTCGCACATAAATCTCAACATGCTCGGAACTCTTAGCTAATGGGTGCTGATAAACTATCTATCATTATGATTTATAATCAATTTACAGTACTGTATCCTATAAAATCTACGGTAATATATCATCATACACAGGGTTGTTCATTATTGATTAATTTCTGGTCGTTTTCAACAACATGATCATGGCTGACGTAACCCTGAAGCCCATCGTGTACTGAAGACTAAGGTGAGGTACTGTACAGTAATAGTGAGGCAATGCCTGACAACAAATCAGTGGAGGCAGTAAAATAGTGTGTTTTTATATAGTCCTTTGTTCACTCTTCTTCATGACATTTCAAAAAAATATTTTACTGTATATAAAAACCTAATATTGATCATTTTCATCACAATAAGCAAGAATGCAAGTAAGAATTCTTTTATTTCAAGTTATAATAAACTCATACAAAATTTTGTTTCAATATTTCTAGAATTTCGAAATAAGAATTAAAAATAATTGTTAACTAACACTTTCAGCCTAAATTAAAGATAACTCAGTGATGGGTGTTGTTAGGTGTGGAAAATGAAGACAAGAATTATCATGAACATACAGCAACATATTTCACTTAATAAAATCTAGTCATGGCATTCTGTCAGGGTGTAAACCATTTGGCATATAACATTGCCATCGCTGAGGCACCGTCAGAGTTCACTGTAAATTTACACTGATTTGGGATTGTTCTTCTTAACAGCCACAGTGTATTGTCATTATGTACAGTTACAATACACTGTCAAGATACTTTGTCCTTATATGCAAATACAACACATTCTGCCAGTGCACATCTACAGTTACAAAACCTTGTTAGAGTACACTTCACTAATGCACAGACACACTTCATTGTCATAGCACATTGGCACACTATACAGCTACATCATGTGGAGATGGTGCAGTGCGTGTCATGGCATACCTTCACACTACTGTGTACTGTACTGTCACAATGATAACTAACTGGAGCCCGAGTCTAGCTTGCCATATTTTAATATTAGGAGAGAACTCATTGACTAACACAACCATTTAGATTCTTACATTGCTAAGATTAAAACAGAACTCCTCTTATGCCTTAAATTAATGCCGCAAATCAACTAAATTTATTCTTATGCTTCGGAAAATTATCCGGCATGACTATCTGAACATTAATCAGGTTCCAACAATGTGAGTGGTAATGATTTATATGATGGTTTGTGCTTGGGAGAAGGAGAGAAAGAACAAAAAACAAAGCAATATAGTATATGAATGAAACAAAAGCACAACAATAACAGTTTCTAAAAAAATATTAAATACGTTTCCATTGTTTAACTAGTTGTTGCTGTTCTACTTTAGAAAATTCAATTTCCACTTTTCTATCCTAACCATATTGTATTGTTTCTAATGAGTGTTACTGTATGGCAGCATCTTGCCATTATAGGGACAAATTTAAGGTGTATTATTTTCTTAAAATACCCAGGGCTTATACAAAGTTTCTAATATCTCTTAAACTCTGTAAAAATATTGTTGAAAATTACATCATCTTTATATAAGCTCATTGTTTATCCTATTTGTCAGGTAACGAGAGGAAAGAAAGTACTGGATAATAAAATCACCTGGATAACTGGGACATCCCTCTTTATCCAGGTGCTACTTTACCCTGAAGATAGAATTCAGTAAAGATCTAGAGAAAGACTATGTGGAATTACGAAAGGTGAGAATAAGATGGCAGAAGAGAAGTGCTAAAGAATAGGAGAAAAGAAGATGTTAGTATGTCAGTGAAGGAATGCACTGATGGGACTGGATTGGTGAGAGAAAAGAACTTTGTGTTTGGGAGAAGTTGTTAAAAGGTGTATAGAAGATAGAAAATGAGAAGAAATATCAAGAGACTTTAAATAGTTAAGAGACCGGCAGGAAGACAGCGATGGAGCCAGGATTTGTTAAGATAATGTTCCTTTGGAGGGAGGAGGGGGTGGGGGTGCACTGGTAAGGGTAAGGTAAGAGGATATGAAGGATTGGGACCAACAATGCTAATGTGTGAGAGGGCAACAGAGAGGATGTAAAGAGGGACTATCAAAATACATTATAAAGAAATTATTGCCTATCTTAATATTTATATGCAAGCCTTAAAAGTTAAGGAGTCTTGGTGAGGAGAGTAAGGGTAAGGGGTGGGGTTGGGATGCTTGGGGTTGAAGGGAGACACATGGAAAAGTAAATTCAAATGACTGAAGTGGACCTCGACATCGATGTAGAGGAGAAGGCGGTCGCTGAGGAAGGCATTGTTCAGGGGAAAGGCATTATCGAAGAGACGGCGATTCGAGTTTCGAAGCTGAAAAAAAATATAAGTTAATAACACTAGAATTTCTTAAAGTGCTACATCATTCGTGTGTGTGTGTGTGTGTGTGTGTGTGTGTGTGTGTGTGTGTGTGTGTGTGTGTGTGTGTGTGTGTGTGTGTGTGTGTGTGTGTGTGTGTGTGTGTGTGTGTGTGTGTGTGTGTGTGTGTGTGTGTGTGTGTGTGTGTGTGTGTGTGTGTGTGTGTGTGTGTGTGTGTGTGTGTGTGTGTGTGTGTGTGTGTGTGTGTGTGTGTGTGTGTGTGTGTGTGTGTGTGGAGGGGGTTAGTATGTATACAGTGTATGTGTAAGATTTCATCTGTGTATATATGATGTAGAAATGAAAATATTCAATGAGAATCAAAAGTGATAGTTGAGGGGTCAAGGATTCATTTCAAGTGTTTGACTATATAAAGAGCAATAAAAAGAAAGATAAATAGCATTATAGTTCTAGACAACTATTAATGTTAGTTCTCTTTATAATATATTATGAAATGTCAAGAGTTACCAGTGAGGGACAGAAAAATATTATAGTTGAGCCATGAACACTAAAGGACCATAATAGAATTTATAATTATGAAAGGATGTAATATATATTGTGATGGGTTTACTGTTGACTTCACTCATGTACAGTATACTCGTATATATAACAGTAGTGACATCTGTTGTGTGGAATTTAGACAGTTTTACAAATCTCTATCTTGATCATAAATTTTATATCTTTTTTTTTCCAATACAGTACTTCATAAATCATTAAAAAATATGAAATTCTTTTTGGAATATACAACATGCAGTCTACAGTACATATGATCAGTGAATGAAGAACTTTAAATGTATTATACACCACCAGATAAGTTACTGCAGCTGTTTATTCTAACACAGGTTGGGAATATACTGTATTTGTATTTTGGTATATTATATATAAGACAACAATATAATATGAACTAATCTAAACATAAGGTTGTTCACTATTATGGTCAGAGGATTAACTTGATGTAATTATTCTTAATATACACTCGAGACAAAAAATCTTTAAATTTAATTTACAAGGAAAATGTATGGTAAGTAAAGTACAATAGTAAGCCCAAGAAACAAAAGATTATAGTATCAGAATGTTGTAATGAACTTCCGAAAAGTGATGACTTTATTACAGTCTACAGGATACTAGAAATAAACCTTCAGAGATATGTTATTTAACATCAGTTCTATACTGTTTAACAAATTTCAAGAAGGTGTGTTGATGTAACTATGTAGTAAATGCTGTATATCAATGTGGGTTTAATAATGTTAATGGCAGTGATCTAGAGATTAAAATTAATAAGATATTAAGGATGACCATATGATTGGCAGGTGGTCGTAATGATAGTGATCGAAGGAGTAAGTTCTTCAAGCTGTTAGTAGCAATTTCTGTTGATGATCTTGACTCACCTTCTAAGATTTTCAGAAGATGCATTTTAAGTAGCTGGAGTGGCCTGGCTTGCTTTCCTTTGCTAGTTCGGTTTCATCTTCTTAGTATCTATTATGATCATTTCCCCCTTGCGACATAGATTACGGATTCGTATTGGTTATAAGTCCATGCTGCATTCTGCAGCTTAGTGGTGCAAGTGCACACAGACACGGGAGAGTTTTTCTGTTCTTCCCCTTGAAGGACATCCACTGCTGTAAGGGGCAATTCCCAGTGCTAACACGAACCACAGTCAGCTTTCAAAAGTGCAGTGAAGACCACAGTTATGTGCAAAAGAGCTAAACAGTAACAACAACAACAACAACAACAACTAATACTCAGGAATGAATGTCACAGTCTTCGGCGTCACCCTCGGGTTGAGGAGCACTTCACACCCCAACCTGTCACCATCGTTCACCCGGCCTACTGCTGCTGCTGCCCCCCATTTTTCTTTTCTTCCTTTTAGCTTATACATCATTTTTATTAAAACAAATTTTCCAAATATTGTCTTGGCAATTCTCCAATAAGTTTTCATTTTTCACAATCAAAGTCCACAATATGGCATACAGGTATTTGTCTCATGGGAGAGTCACTGACTTAACGAGAAACAAGAGTATATGTGCAAGTATTGTGGCCCGCCAAAGTGCGCACACAATTCAAGCTTCCTGCAGGTATTTTAGGGGACAAACACCTTGTTGGTTGTCACCATTGCGGATCATCACCATACCCTCGACCTCCTCCCCGATCTGGATAACGATCTGTGGAGGAGAAAACAGATGTCACTCTAAAGCTGGCAAGGAAGTAATACAAACAGAACTATGGTATAATAAACACAATTATTTCATCCAAACATCACTGTGATATATAAATGCATATTACAGTATTTATAAAACCAGTGTGATACATAGAATATACATGTATTTTTCTCTCTCAAAAAAAGTGAAATATTAAATGCACAGTCCCCCTAAAAACTATCGTTAGCCATGAGCTCAGTGCAATTCGAGGCTTTTCGAACAATTTTACTTGACCTGTTTCAGAACGGTTGGTAGTTATACATTCATGACCTTAAGGCATGAATGAGTACAGTATACACGTTTTTGAACGATACATGCATTAATATACCTTAATGAATTTTTTGTTATACAGTAGACCCTTGCCATTAGCGAGTTATTTCGGGAAATCATGAACCAAGCGGAGAAGTGGAGAGCTGCAGAAGGACATCTGTGGGCTCCAAGAATGGTCGAAGAAATGGCTACTGAGATTCAATGTCACGAAGTGTAAGAGGATGCACCTGGGGCGTACCAATGGTAAGGAGGCGTATCATATGTCCCAACGGGATGAAGAAACTGCACTATTTGAGACTGAATGTGAGAAGGACCTAGGTGTGTATGGTGACAATGAGCTGAAGTTCTCGGGCCATTGTGAGAAGAAGGTAAATCAGGCAAATAAATTATTGGGTCTTATAAGAAGGTCGTTCAGATATGTAGACGGTCCGTCCCTCGTGACGATCTTCAGGAGTGAAGTGCTTCCCCATCTGGAGTACTGTCACCCCATCTGGTCCCCGAGATATGCTAGGGACTGTCAGTTGGTTGAAAATGTTCAAAGGAGGGCCACCAAACTGGTGCCTGCACTTCGGCACCTCAGCTACCCTGAGAGATTGGAGCGCCTGAACTTGCCTAGCTTATACTACAGACGGGCAAGGGGGGACCTAGTTGAGGTGTATAAGCATCTCAGGGGGCACTACTCAGTTGAATGTCCTTACTTGGAGCTGGCGGACGCTTGCCCCACAAGGGGTCACAGCTCAAGATTGAATAAGCCTCTAGTCCAGAAAACTGTGAGGGCAAACTTTTCGGAGTGAGAGTTGTGAACTTTTGGAATAATCTACCAGAAAGTGTTGTGACGGCACCGAGTGTGAGCTCTTTAAAGACAAGACTTGACCAACACTGGAGCGGGTTCAGGTACATTCAGGAGCCGGTGCATGCCCAGTACTTGCCAACAGTGCGTAAGAGAGACGTGGCCGATCGCCCAAGCAGCTTACGAGCCGATCTTTTGGTGAAGAGGATAAAAGAAAAGGAAAAGTAATCAGAGACGTGACCGATCGCCCAAGCGGCTGACGAGCTGATCAGTGGTGAAAAGGATAAAAGTAAAAAGTAAATGTAAGAAATGGTGCGAATTGGCAAAACCGCGAATAGCTACCTTAGTGCAATACTGTATACCTATACCAAACAACTGACCAGCTACAGCAGCACTCGTCCCCTCTTTTAACTTATCTAATAATAAAACTTTTTTTGTCATGGTCATCACTGACTTCTGCTTTTACATTTCACTCAACTAGCATCGCTAGCACTGGCACTAGGCAGTCTTTTAGGGGCCATTTCACACAGAAACTAAACTTTTGAGAGTACAACACAGATGTTGCGTGGGGTAAATCGTTGTGCTGCGGGAAAAGGCTTACAAACTAGCCACCATAGCCACCATCTGCTTACCGAGAATAGTCGAAATCGTGAATCGCAAACCAGCGAATGGCAAGGGTCTACTGTATTGAAGTATTTAGTATGCTATAAGTATAAGGATGACTCCCTCCCCCAACCCTACCCTCATCTCTAGCTGTTGCTGATATGGCAAGCAGGCATACCAACTTATGATGATACACTGGGGATCATATCAAAGAATTTCGTCTAGTGTTTTAAATTGTATTGATGGAAAATCTACAATACTTTTTGGAAGACTGTACCTGTATACAGTATATTTTTCTAAGGAACAATTTCCAAATTGCTATACAGTATTCAGTTTTACATTATTTTAAATATATAAATACATGAACTTTGTTGTAGTGCACGTAAATAAAAGTTAACTTACATAAGAATGTCAACACATCTGGAAATAATGTTTTATGATATAAGGATGAACATTTATCAACAGGTAATGCTTTTAAAATGTTCACAGACTATTATGTAATTGTGATATTGATGATTTGACATATAGGACATTCTTGATCAACAGTTACACAAACAGAGAGATGGTTGTGTTCCCCAAAATATGCCTTTGTAAAGATAAACTGGGCAGTGATGTACAAGAATTAGTCAGCACAAGGTTTTGGAAAAGTTTATTTGTGTTAGCCACAGAAAAAACAAAACCTGGAAATACCTTGTTTTTTCAATGAACATTATCACAATTAATTGCTAATTCAGATGTACAGATAAACATTTAAATTGTGAATAGCTACACTTAACAAATTACCATAAGTCATTTTACCAATGAAACATTTGACTCATGTACACAGGTGGCAGGAGTCAAAGGACAGGGTTCATATAGCTGAAATGTACCCCGACAAGGTGTATGTGCAGCAGTGGTTGGAGGGTGTACATACCCTTTAGGATAAAATGACAGGATCTAAATCTCTACACAGGAGGGCTGTTTATAACAAGTTTGTGGATTTAAGAGTTAGGTTGTATTGACTGAACACTGATAAAAATTTCTGGTAGGACAAAAAGCTCCTCTACTTCAACATTCCAAAGACGTAAAGAATAATTAAAGTGACCCTTCTCATGTTACTCCAGGAAGATGTTTACTTTCTCCTTCAATCAGCTACAGTAATGTGACGATAAGCAAGATATGGTATTTTTTAATTGTTTTGATGAATAAATGTACCATATTCAACAAGAAACTCCAGTATAAAGACAGCATTATAACCTATGTCTCATGTTAGAGAATATCTAATTGATTTGCTATGGGAATACTTTTAACAGCAGTACAAAAAGAGGTAGCACTATATATACAAGTTTCCATGTACTTCCTGTCACTCGGTCAAACCCATACTAATCTTACATGGTATCTACAACAGACTACTAGAGCCCATACCAATCTCAGTTAATCCTTACTTGCTTGACAAAACCCCTGCAGCTGTTACCTCATCCCTGTCCTAAATGGTTATCACCTTAATTGATTTTTATATCATTGCCTGTCTTACCTGAGTGTAGACAACCCTGGCCCTACCTGGTACCTGCCCTACCTGGTACCTGCCGTACCTGGTCTCTGAGGAGTTTAATGCCGTTATCGCCATCGGTGACCTGCAGGTTATGAGTGACCTGTAGTGGCTTCTCACCACAGTTGAGTCGGGTCACATACTTGGAGGGGAAGTAACCAGTCCTGCCCAGACACTTTCCCTGCCACCAGTCAGGATCGGATGTGTCAGTCACAGTGACCTTGTAACCAGCTCTGTTAGGGGGAAGAGTCCAGGTCAGTCTTTAGCTTCCTGCGTTGTTGCGACACTAGTGATGATTTTAATGATAAGATGTTAAGTAATCAATACTATTATACTATAAGACGTTTATCATTATCTTTATCTTAATATATCCGTCTCATCTGTCTATCTTTTTAATACCGCTGTCTGCCTATCTCTTAATATCTTTGTCTGCCTGTCTGTCTTTTAATATCTGTCTTTAACATCTTTGTTTGTCTGTTACTCTTAATACATCTTAATAACTTTGCTTATCTGTCCTTTTAATATTCATCTGTATATCTCTTACATATCTCTCGACTATGTATTTCTCTCCAATATACAAAATTACAACTAATGAAGAAAACACAAGAAATACTTAACAAAAACATCGTCAAATTAAACCAACCAAGACAACTAATATAGAGAAGGTTTTTACACTGAAGATATATGATATAATATTTCTTAGTTTAATGACTCAGGAGAGAAGTTTAAAAGGACTGGTCAACAATACTCGAGTGACTCAGCTCTCAAGTAAAATATGTTTCCTTTCTCTACACCCTTATGACCACCCAAGTTCTGCATTAGTTGTTTCCTGCTTTCACTATATCCCAACACTGTCTGCTGCCCTCACTATATCCCAACACTGTCTGCTGCCCTCACTATATCCCAACACTGTCTGCTGCCCTCACTATATCCCAACACTGTCTGCTGCCTTCACTATATCCCAACACTGTCTGCTGCCCTCACTATATCCCAACACTGTCTGCTGCCTTCACTATATCCCAACACTGTCTGCTGTCCTCTCACTATATCCCAACACTGTCTGCTGCCCTCACTATATCCCAACACTGTCTGCTGCCCTCACTATATCCCAACACTGTCTGCTGCCCTCACTATATCCCAACACTGTCTGCTGCCTTCACTATATCCCAACACTGTCTGCTGCCTTCACTATATCCCAACACTGTCTGCTGCCCTCACTATACCCCAACATTGTCTGCTGTCCTCCCAAATAGGCGAGTCTGATACGTTCCCAAATGGTAACACTGTCAAAATATATCGCTTGTCTGGTAGCACTGGCAGGTACAATCCCCATTTGGTCATTATGTCAACGTCATTCTCTAGCTGGTAACACTGTACTGCCCGATATGTTCTCTATCTGGTAACATTATTTACCATGTTTAGCTGATCCCTCTTGGTTATCAAGTCATGATCATCTCAATCTGGTAATACTCTAAGGTGCTTTCTCGAAATGGTAACAGTATCAAGTATATACTGTATAATATATATCTGACAACAGCATCAGACAAGCCAGCAAGTTGGCAACACTGGCAGGTTGAGAGCCTCACCATTTACTCAACAAACATCACAGTCAGGAGAGAGTCCTAAATTAATTACCTTTTTGTCATAACTAAGAAAGTATTTATAGTTGATTTAATTCATTCTCCCTTTATCAACAATTTAGTGATCCTCTTGAGCTGCTGCTGCTATATAACATTAACTTCACATTTCCATCTAACACAAACTTGGCATTTTCATCTATGATAAACAATATTTCTGAGTTTATTTATATGTTACCTGGAGTTAGTAAGGGGGGGGGGCTGTGTTTATAATGCAATCTTTATTTAATTCTGAGTTATAAAAAAAAACAAGAACATTAATTGGAACACCTGAAGATGAAATCACTTGGCATATTTCACCTGATTAAAACATCATAATACCAACCTATTCTAACACTAACCTAACCTATTCTAACACTAACCTAACTAAACCCCCAGGTGGCATTAGGGTGTCAATCATCAGGAGAAATAATATGGTAGGGCTAACCTTCAGGTGATCTGATTACCTTTATATGAATTATGATGCTGAATGAGTTGAAAGTTAACACAAACTTTTCTCATAATTGTTTGCTCAATTAAACTTATTAAGAAGTGTTTTCTGTTGAAGTAAACATCAAGGGAGAGATGGATGGTCTCTTATGAAGACTCGGGATTTCCACATTGAAATTATAACTTGTTTTGTCTCCTCTCTCCTCCTCATCCTATTACCCTTCAGGAGATTTGGCTAATTTTCTATTGCATTAAAGAAAAAAGAATGAATTACTTAACATCTTCAGTACAATAAATCATGGTGCAGGGAGCAGACACTCTTACTCTTTTAAGGAAGGAAATGGTAAAGTACCAATCGGCTTCTTTATTTACGAAAGTTGCCTGAAGGTAAAAATAAATATTACTACTTTTATTCCCTAACCGGATGTAATGGTGACACAGATATTATAGTGCCCTTTAATTACAGCAAAATATGAGTGTAATATTGATATCATGCTGACCCAGTGGTGATAATATCATATTTCAGTCCTGATTTGTTAAGAATCTTACAATACAGTAGTATCATTTTACTCGTAACTGGTAATATGAGATCACAGGTAAATTTAAGATGTGATAGAATGATGAAGGCCAAAATTGCGCCAAGATTACACTTCAGATCCTACCATAACTAGATATATTTTCTCATCCCCATAACCTAGGAATCTTTGAGAATCCTAAAGTTACATTCTCAAAAGCTAGTAGGACTTGAATTCGTTGTAAGTTGAAATGTAAGAATTTATTTAACTGGCTGACCAAACGAAAAATAGATAAAAAAAAAGATTAAAATTACCCACTAGCTTGGTTCACTTAGCACTAGATAAGACAAAAGGTTTATTTTTTTTTGGGGGGGGGGGGGGCAAAGAATCACTACTTTACTTTTATTAGGTAACTGTACATATTTAATTAAGGTAAACTGTACTAGTTTAATTAGTTTAATCTAGATGGTTTTCTTTCCATTTTTTTTACTTTAACTCAAGTCAACCAGTTAAGGGTGTCCTCAGCTTCACTACAAGGAGCATCCATCAAGCGACACGAAGCCCAGATAAAGTGTAGAACCGACCCCCATGTGTGACACCAAACACAGTGAGCATTAAGTGACTTTCCCCAGTGCGACGCCGAACCCAGTTAGTGTGTCAAACGAGGCTGGAGAGAGGTGGCATGACGTTCATATATCGGAAACATGAATCTTTATAGCGTGTAGTGCGTATTGTCCACCAGCCTAGCACACTCTGTCTTACTCTCGTCTCTCAAGTGCCTGCCTTTCTTCACTGAGAAAAGCTGTGCGTGGCCATTTCTTAACATGACAAGGCAGAGTCTTTTATTTTTAAACGATATATATATATATATATATATATATATATATATATATATATATATATATATATATATATATATATATATCGATGTGTGTGTGTGTGTGTGTGTGTGTGTGTGTGTGCTTTAGTGGAGTGGGTTAACTGCTTCTGTTGTACTAATTTTTTTCTCTTGTCAAAACCTTCTAGTGTTCTTAACATGATGGCGAAAGTAATCTGAGTTTCGTTATTTACACTGGTCGTTAAAATACAGATGATAGTGACATTATTTACACTGTTCATTAAGATACAGTTAAGAGTGACGCTACAGTATTTTGTTTACTGTTTGTTGACATATATTTTGGCAATGGCATTGTTCTTTATTTTCACAGTTTATTTTCGTGCCTATTATTCTCACAGTACACTATCCGCCCCCATCTAATTCACTGCATGACTCTATTTATCAGTTGTGTGACGCCTATTCACCACGCTACCAGTTGTGTGACTCGTCTGAACTAACTAACAGGATGTAACAAGCACAACTAATTGCACCATATACAGTACAATTACTCTCTGTAGTGTCATGATTAGTCTATTTCGTCAGCCTTGTCCTGTCTACTGGTGTCTTCTGATCACCTGTTTGAGCCTCACCTGGTCACCTGTTTGAGCCTCACCTGGTCACCTGTTTGAGCCTCACCTGGTCACCTGTTTGAGTCTTACCTGAGGTCGAGCTCGTCAGGGTGTCTGGAGGTGAAGTTGTAGAGGACGACGTATAGGTTGGTGGGCAGGAGGCGGTGTGGCTTCTGTCGAGAGAGGTAGAAGTGAGGGTGAGAGGTAGAGATGAGGGTGAGAGGTAGAGATGAGGGTGAGAGGTAGAGGAGATAGAGGTAGAGAGATGGGGTGAGAGTAGAGATGAGGGTGAGAGGTGAGATGAGGGTGAGAGGTGAGAGAGGGTGAGAGGTAGGGATGAGGGGAGATGAGGGTGAGAGGTAGAGATGAGGGTGAGAGGTAGAGATGAGGGAGAGGTGGAGAGAGGAGGATGAGAGGTAGGAGATGAGGTGAGAGGTAGAGATGAGGGGGAGAGAGATGAGGGTGAGAGGTAGAGATGAGGGTGAGAGGTAGAGATGAGGGTGAGAGGTAGAGATGAGGGTGAGAGGTAGAGATGAGGGTGAGAGGTAGAGATGGGGGTGAGAGGTAGAGATGAGGGTGAGAGGTAGAAGTGAGCATGAGGCGGATTGAGTGGATTTATATATATATACAGTATACTGTATTTATCTACCTTTAGTATAATATAAAATACTATCATATGAATTAAATAACATCTTTCTATAAAACCCCAAAAATATATAATAGGGTAATAAACTTTTATCATTTAAAAATTTATAAAGAACTTCTAAATATTTATCTTCGAGAATGCAAGACTAAGAGTAAAAAAAATAAGTGTTAATATCAATGTTAAAAGATGCAACAAGAACAAGTCAACAATATATGCTGTAATGATGGTTGTGGTTAGGGTATATATACAGTATTAACAACAATAACAACTAAAAAACAAATTAAACAAAAACAATAACAGCGGTGCAAAGACGTGACGAACCAAGATCAAGGGATAGATACGTTAGGTGGCAGCCTGATGATGATTTACAAGAGAAAACAAAATACTCGCATGTTAAAAATAAATGGATTGTCGTCTTTGAAGGTACTTTAAGTGGCTGGTCGAGACTTGTACTTGGTGAGGCTACGAGTGTCTTCAGTGAGGAGGAGGAGGAGAGGAGGGATGGGGGAAGGAGAGGAGAAGAAGGATGGGGAGGGGGAGGGAGGGGGGTAGGAAGAGGTGGAGGAGGGGGGACGAGGAAGAGGGAAGAGGAGAAGGAAGAGGTAAGACGAGGTGGAGGGAACATGAACCTCCTCGATCAAAGTTCCAACTGACCAAACACAATACACAGGTGTCTACTGAGGAGTGTATTGACGTACTGCCCACCTCCCTCTCTCTGGCCCTTGAGACTCGCCACACGATCGATCTCTACAAAAAGCTGTTCAGTCACACGTACGGAATCTCTGTGAGGCGAACATCAAAGGAAAAAACTCACAACTTCCCAAGAAAACTGGATTAAGGTCACGATTCATGAAGGTTCTGATCGTTTATCTGATCTCGTAACTGGTACTTGGTAAACGTCTCTGATTAAGATAGTCTCAGTGGGATTTTCATGTTATTTTGGATGTTATATCTATGTTGCAGCCAATGAGGTACTTTCATAAACTCTTATATGCCCAGTCAGGAGATAAACTCAATTCAAGAACCTGTGATAATCCCTCACCAGATGACTGAAGAACGACATTCATTTGCTTTCTGCCGTCTATGGTAGAAGTACGGTTTTCTTCTTGTAGGGATGAGATAGAAATATTATCTACAACATTTCTTTCAGTAATTTATCAACAGGTAAACATGCAGACAATATATAATGGGGCATCTAAAATACAATACAGTATTCAAAATGATGCATAACACATGGAGATTGATAAACTGAGGTGGCGGGAGCATGCGAGTAAACAGAGTGGGTGTGAGGGCGGGAACATATGACAGCAGTACTTATGAGGAACCAACCATGCTAAGTACTAGCACAAGACGCGTGCACTAGTGATGTTTTTTACATTATACATTCATTTTAAAGAGATACTGGTGAGCTAATAACTAAAGAAAAAATGTGTGTGTGTGTGTGTGTGTGTGTGTGTGTGTTACAACTTGATGTTCTCAGATATTTTAACCTTTACTAGAAAGAGGAATAAGACACAATTCCCAAATGACGAGTCTTTGTGTTCTTTATCTTAGTGCTTACATAGGCCTAATCCTGAGTATTTTCTATATCAAAATCTCACACGCGCTCTTATTCTTTCAAATTCTTAGCAGTATTCAAACACAGGTTACAGTTGGTCTTAAATATACGTAGTAGAGACCCAGGAGACACTGATACAAGATGGTTACTGAAGGTGGCCGAGTCCCCCTTTGGCGCCACAACAGACCAAGACTTCCTAACTCTGAACAACATGCACAGATAATAACCAAGAGCTTATTGTGGTTTGTATTTACTGGCCAAGTCTGGTGACAATTCATCAACAACGGATTTAGTTATCATGTTTGTAATTTCTGGACGCAGTGGCTGACGGACGGACGCAGATCACAAGCAGAACACAAACACAGGTAACCATAACATCTTCACCTTTTATAACGCAGCACTGAGTATATCCTTGGCTACAATGTCACCTGCCATCATAACACATCAGATTAACACACAGCCCTCAAGGTGTACCGTCATCATTCTAACAAAGGAACATGGAATAAAAGCTTTGGCTATAAACGTCACGTGACACCCAACTCGAGGTAACACTACAATGAAAAACAACTCTTTAGACTAACGGACAATCTTCAGAGTGTTGCGTCATCACAATCAACGGAGTCACACTTAATAATAATGAGAGGAGGAGGAGGAGGAGGAGGGGGAGGGGGAGGAGGGGAGGGAGGGAGGGGAAGCGGCCATCGTAACTTAAGTGGTGCAGTGGGCGGGACGTTGAGCAGCAGTGGGAGGGAGAATGACCTTGGTTACAAATAATTATAATACCTCCACACACGCCATGCTAATGCTATATCAAACTGTCCAAGATCAAAGACGTCCAACATTATACTTCAACTTTATTATTATTATTATTATTATTATTATTATTATTATTATTAGGGTAGTCAGCACCGGGTGAAACTGATATTATACAAAGTGAAGCAAGAGAAGGAATGATCTTGGCACAGACAATAGGTAACTTACTGTTCAGGTTTGACTTAGATTAGTGTTAGCTCTTTTTAGGTAATGGTGAGTCGTGTGTACAGTGAGTCAAAAAAGGGCAATGATGAGTCACTTAATACATTGAGTCATAATGTTTACAATGGCGAGTCAGTCAATCCATAAAACGAGTCACAAGATCAGCAATGGTGAGTCAGTCAGTCTATACACTGAGTCAGAAAGACCATAATGGAGACAGGTGATAAATATTTGCGGTAATTTAAACCATTAGCCTGATTAAAGGTACATATATACCTCTACCTCTACCTCTAGTCCATGTTTGGTTAGGTTAAGGTTTGGTCAAGGTTAGGTTATTCTCTCTCTCTCTCTCTCTCTCTCTCCAGTAAATTAAAACATTGACAATAAAACCTGAAATAAAGTCAATCTTTTAACAAACGCCGTAAACTCTACGGTGGTATGCTGCCACGTTTAACTTACTGGGTGGGTGTGTGCACCCTGATATCAAACGAGAGAGAGAGAGAGAGAAGAAGAAGAGAGAGAGAGAGAGAGAGAGAGAGAGAGAGAGAGAGACTCGTCCAGGCTGCAACACTCCAATTAATCGATGCTCCTGCCTAGCCCTCAGTGGTGGCTCCTCACTGGGGATTACAGGGGGATTACCGGTCTAGTAAAGAAGGGGATTACCGGGATGGAAGTTAGTAATGATAAAAATAACGTGAGTGAAAGACAATAAAAATAGGATTACTGGGACAGAAGACGATAAAGATGGGATTAGTGAGGTGATAAAAGGGATTATCCAAACATGGAAGGGATTAATGATATATCGGAGGATTATCGTAACATAGAGATTATCGGAACATGGGGGAGTATAGGAACATAGGAGGATTACCAGAATACGGGGGATTACATGAGCATAGGATTTCAAATGGGGGATTTAGATCTGAGCTTCGACAAGAAAAAGGATTAGGTTAAGTCCTGACGAGGTTTCCATAACACAGGAAGAAGTAGTAAGGAGGGTTCATGAGGTGACTTTGTAGGGGTTCAAATGTGGATTTTGTAGGGGTTCATTTGGCGGGTTTATGGGGTTTACTTGTGGGTTTGTGAGTTCTGTTTGTGGAGTTTAGTGGGTGTTCTTTGTGGAGGTTCAACTGAAGATTAAACCCCACAACTTATTTCACCTGAAGATTAAGCATCCCAAAGAATGTTAGGGGGTAGGAAAGGGTAGGGTAGGGTAGGGAGGGTGGGGAAGGGAAGGAAGGGAAGGGAAGAGAAGGGAAGGGTAGGTAAGAGTGTAGGGTAGGGGTAGGTAGGGTAGGGTAGGGTAGGGAAGGGAAGGAAGGAAGGAAGGGAAAGGGTAGGTAGGGTAGGGTAGGGTAGGGTAGGGAAGGGAAGGGAAGGGAAGGGAAGGGAAGGAAGGGAAGGGAAGGAAGGAAGGGAAGGGTAGGGGAGGGTAGGGTAGGGCAGGGTAGGGGTAGGGTAGGGTAGGGTATGTCAGTGTTAGGGTGGTTAATCTTCAGGTGATCTGAAAAGTGTACTAAAATAAAGCTTTCATAATATTAGAACCATTGAAGTCTGATTTTCTTATGTTTACGTGACCTGATCTTCTACCACAGTAAAAAAAAAGGGTCAACCTAGGTCATATTTAGATGAACATTCTTATATAGACTCTAAAATAAAAACATTCTTAATATAATCATTCTTAAGATATTAGATACAAAAACATTCTTACTAAGTTTGATAGAAATTCACTGAATACATCAATAAAATAAATTTGTTTCGTACTCAAAGACCTAAGACCGACAAACACACAAAGAGAGAGAGAGAGAGAGAGAGAAGAAAAAGAGAAGAGAGAGTATCCAGACGCTACTTTACGCAATTTTATCCCCCCCTCTAATCTCACCGTTCTCACACTGAGTACAAAACTGAGACGAGGATCCAGTTCTCAAAGCTTCCTACGCTTAAGATCGTCTTCCCGCCATAAATGTGGATAAGAGAGAACGCATCTGGTTACGAAC